ACTTCCTAGAGGAGTCTTAAAGAAAAATATCAGTAGTCAATGATAACCTACATTATTGGTAACTAACTTATTGGCTGTGAGGCAAGGCTACAATGAAAAGACAACTTGAAATGGGTTGCACATACACGATTCAGGCTGGTGTCTGCACAGATTGTGAACTAATGAGAAGGGAGTGTGTTATACATTCACTCCATTAGTTTCAGAAACATACTGTTTTTGTTGCTGTACAGTTTTAGCTTGTTGCAAGCTGTTAGGAACACAGGTAGTTATGATGCTGTGAGGCAAGGCTACAATGAAAAGACAACTTGAAATGGGTTGCACATACGCGATTCAGGCTGGTGTCTGCACAGATTGTGAACTAATGAGAGGGAGTGTGTTATACATTCACTCCATTAGTTTCAGAAACATACTATGTTTTTGTTGCTGTACAGTTTTAGCTTGTTGCAAGCTGTTAGCAACACAGGTAGTTATGACGAGATCAGTGTAAAAATGTATCCACGTGTATTCCTAACAGCATATTTTCGCAACTTACGTTTTTGTTGAGACGAGGAAACAAAACACGGCAAGATCCATGCCTGCTGGGACTACTCTGTCTCAAAATAAACAGATTAAAAGAATGCTTATTAAATGACAACCAGCTTTTAAAGTTAGGAGCTACTATGAAAACAGAGGATCCATGGCAGCTCAGCCAGACAAGGGCCCAAAGTGGAGCTTGGGAAATGGGTGACAGGTCAACCCGAGCCGGGGAACTGTTAGAGACTGATCACTGCTGGGTGTCGGAGAGTGGGCAATGCCAACGATCTCTAGACAGGCTGACTAGACTCCAGTGGATGAACTTGCCGTGAAAGACATCTTGGCACAAATGCCTGACTAGGTAGGACTTAACATGTATAGTGTAATACATGAGGTCCGGTGGGGGGTGGAGGTGGGGGATCGTGAATGGGAGAGGAGGTCTGAAGTTATTAAGAACTGTTGTATGAAATGGACAAGAGCCCAATACATTTTCTTTCACAAAAGCTCAGAAACAAAATCATAAGAAATTCAATCAGTTTCGTTAGGTCACCATATTTGTGAGCAGAGTTTCACTGTTTTTATACAAATGACATTCTTTTAGAATTATTCCATTTGTAAAAAAACAATCTTACAATTGCTTTTCAACTTATGTAGGAAAGTTAAACACAAAATAGGGCAAACTTATGCTTGGAAATAACATTGAAGAACAAACCTTAACAATTAAAATAACAATTAGAAATGAACCTTTCACAATGCAGCATTACTAATTGGAAAATATAGAATATTTTCATAAGATAGTTTTTTTTTCTTTCTTTCTAAGATAGATTCTTACTGTGTAGCCCTGCTGATCTGGAACACACTATATAGACCAGGCTGACCTTGAGTTCACAGAGATCCTCCTAACTCTGTCTCTGCACAGCTGGTGTTAAAGGCATGCACCACCATGCCCACGGATAGATTTGTAGAAAGGCAGTCCTTAAAATTGTGATGCAAAGTAGCAAAGGATATTTAACAGTTTAGCTCCATCTCTGAATGTTTATTTTAAAGTAATGCAACTTTTGGAACATAGAGTGAAGAAACCATACACCTACAAACACATTTTTCCTATGCTTTTGACGATGGTGGGAAGCAAAATGACATGCTCCTATTATGGTGTTGTCAGGGCAGAGCATTTAGCAGTTTCCTGTATGCAACGGCAGTTGAAGTGACCACCACGTCTCATGTGTTCACTGTAGGAAGTAACAAGTTTATAAAGATGGTTTCTTTCCATTGCATCACGTACTTTGTGCCCAGTAAGCCGTCTTGTGGCTTTCTTGGTCCTCCCTCCCATGTCCCCTCCAGATATTCTCCTCCCTTCCCTGTCTCCTGTGTCATCATAGGAGTCTCTGGGTGTATGCATACATGTAGCTTTACATGCATATATGTAGTTATATATATATTTATATATTATCAGTATTATTTTTGAGACAAAGTCTTACTATGTAGCCTTGGCTGACCTCAAACTCACTGAGATCCGCCTGCCTCTGCCTCCTGATTTCTGGGATTACAGGCATGTGTCACTAGACCCAGCTGGTTTTGTATATCTATATAAAATTTGGGGCTTACAAATGAAAGAAAATATGTGATCTTTGTCCTTCCAAGTCTGGCTTATTCCACTGAACACATGATCTCCTGTTATACCTATGTTCTAACAAACTGCGTGCCTTTATTCTTGCTTACGGCTGAAGAGAACTCCACTGTGTATAAATACCACATCTTCTTTATCCATTCATCTGCTGTTGGACACCTAAACTGATTCCATAACTTGACGACTGTGAATACCAACAGCATTAAACACGGGTGTTGGGAGAACCTCTGTGGTATGTTAAAGCCAAAACCTAGAAATAGCATATCTGGGTCATATGGTCATTCTGTTTTTAGGTTTTAAAGAACCTTAATATTGACTTCTGCAATGGCTATCATAATTTATGTTTCCACCAGCACTTTACAAGTTTCTCTTTTTGCTACATCCTTACGAGTATTTGTTGTCATTTGGTTCTATAATTTACTAACATTAAGACATATATATATATCATATATACATATTTAAGGAAACTTAATTATCTGATATGAAACTCCTGCATTGTAATGAAGTATTGACATAGACACAATTTATTTCAGTGGCGTAATTAGACTGGAAAAATGAAAATACTGTTGGATTGCTGATAGATGTTACTAAATACAACGTGTTTGGTTCATACAGTTATAAACTTCTAGCCCTATGTTGCTAAGTGAAGCACAACTTAATAGTAAATGTTCTGACAAAAATTTCATTAGAAGCAGCCAGCTATTTCTTTCTGAACAAAGATTATTATTGAAAACGTTCTTTTTAATGAGTATCTTATTTCTTATAATTCACTGCCACTCTATGTAAATTTTCTTTTTCAGTCATGTTGAAAATTAAATTTTTGGTGTGTGGGGAAGGGGTCTCTTTCCTACCTGGATCTGTACTGTAGTTGGTTTAAATACTGGACTCAATAGTTGGCTTTTCTAAACCAGTCAGGAAAAAACAGGCATGCACAGCAGTGTCAGCAGGTGGAAGCACTTCCTGCCCCACGTCACTTCTCCTCTTGCTCATAGCTTACCGATCTGTCTTGTTTCTCTCTTTCAGTGCCTGGAGCCCTGCAAGGAACCTGGAGATTTGAGAAAGCATGAATGTCAAAGCTTCTGTGAGGTAAGAGGGTATCAGATTGATGTTACTACCTACGGTGTAAAACTAAATGTTCTTTAAAGATGGCTCCTGTGGCTATTCACCCAGCTTCCACTGAGGATACTGCAAGGTGTTGAAACGTTCCTGACAGAAAGGAAAACGTACAGCTAGTGACACCATCCCAAAGACAGTGGCTTAGAGAGATCACAATTTTCAAGGAAGTCAGTGAGGTAGTCTTTGAGGTCAGAATGAACTGATGTCATAGGGCGTCTTTGGAAAGAACTTAAGGCTATATGGAGAGCTGTTTCAAAGGGGAAGGGAGACACGGTGACTGGTGTTCATCCAGTGTAGCCAAGCAGTTGCCACGTTTGTCTTGGGAAGGTATACAGACTCTATTCTGAATAAATGACTGCAAACTTGAGGCCATAATTATTTTCTTAAAATGTATATAGTTCATGAGGATATAAGACATCCTCGTTGTCTTATTTTGTCTTCCCCTTCACCTTGGATTTCACAGTGCAAAAAGGTAAGGCTCTGAGAGCACGGCATAGTATTATGGAGAACTGAGGTGGAACTGGAAGAGTGAGGTGACCAGTCTGACACCGGGGCCAGTGGTCAGGATGAAAGGGCTGGATCTCAGTCTGTGACTAGTGACACATCTCCTTAATGCCAGGTATGTTGTTGCAGGAGGCTTGGTTTGGATAACCACCAGGAGTCAGGGACCTATCGTTCCATTTTAGAAGACTTCAGTGGAAGAGTTTCTGGCCTAGGAGATGGCATTGTCTGGTCGGTAAAGGGCATATAAGCTACCACTTAAGGATGTGCATAGAGGCGGCTCTCTGGGGCTTACTGGCCAGTGAAGCTACCGTACTTAGTGAGTCCCAGGGTGATGAGACATCCCACCTAAATAACTAGGTAGATAATACCTAAGGAACAACTGAAGCCGGCCGTCCTCTAGACGGCACACACATGCACGCATGTGCGTACACACGTTTCTCACGCGTTTCTCAATCAAGTAAGTCATCTTCCTTAGCTCAGTCTCATGCTAGTTTGCAGCTTTCCCTGGATATATGAAACATTGTTGACCACAAACCTTTACATAACTATTCCTGTAGCCAGGAGCACTTCTGCCCAAGAATTACAGCCAATGAGCTCTTCAGAAATCTTTGGTAAACGTGAGCAATTTAAAAAAAATGCCTTGCAGGCATTTCAGGACTCCCGACAGTCACCCAGGGTTATTTGGTCAATTACTCTGTATGACTGTCAGCTGTGGCTGAGTAATGATTTAGTTTTAAATCAAATAGCACCATAACCCTCTAGTGTATTTCTGTCCCAATCTCTGTCCCTTTGGGAATGACAGAGAATGACATATGTCATTGATTCTATCTCCCTCAAAAGACTGGCATCATTTTTCTCTGAATCCTAACTATGCCAGAACGCATTTGGATTAGATTTAATGCATCCTACATGTTTGATAGCTGAAGATAATAATTAATTGCATTAAAAATTACCCCCAAGCTTAATAATTGTCTTGGCAGGTTTATTATCTTAGTAGACTGAACCAGAATAAAACGGCCTTAATAAAGTTCATTGAACTTTGTGAATGCTTGCAGTGTGCCCAGAAGTTGATTACAGATAGAGTAATGGACAGGTTGGACATAAATCCCTTCCATCTTCGGCTTGCTTTTCCCGTGTGTGTTTAGTCTCATTTTTAGTCTAGATTCTTGTTCTTATTGCTATGAAAATAAGCAGTGACCAATCATGAATGTTCCAGGCTTTTAAACTTTATCAAGCTGAACCAAAATGGGAACTGACATGGGGATTTTTGTTAGCAGATAGAGTAATGGACAGGTTGGACATAAATCCCTTCCATCTTCGGCTTGCTTTTCCCGTGTGTGTTTAGTCTCATTTTTAGTCTAGGTTCTTGTTCTTATTGCTATGAAAATAAGCAGTGACCAATCATGAATGTTCCAGGCCTTTAAACTTTATCAAGCTGAACCAAAATGGGAACTGACATGGGGATTTTTATTAAGTCGGTCCAACTGCAGAGAGAGATCTGAACTGAACTACGATTCTGAATTCTCATGCACGTTTTTCGTCCATGTTAACACATCTACCTCAAGGATGCCTAGTTGACAGACCACCACACTCCAGCTTTTATTTTGTCTTTGATTCTGTGCACAAAGTACACATGCATCTGAATTAAAATAGTTTTGGGCGTGCATGTGTGCACAATATTGTATGACTGCCCGCACACAGGGTATGCGTGTGTGTGCATGTATGTGTCTGTACATGTGCATTCTTATGCTTGTGCCTGTTGAGGCCAGAGATTGATTTCCTTAATCTCTCGCCACCTTAATTTTCGAGATGATATATTGCCCTGAACCTGCAGCTGGCCAACTGGGGAGACTGTCACTCCAGCAAGTGCCCTCTCTGCACCATGTCCCCCAAGAGGATCTTGGGCAGGCCCGTCTCTGCCTCTCCATCACTGGGATTATGAGTGCATGCTATTGTATCCAGCTTTTTCCATGGGTGCTAGGGGTCTGAACTCAGTCCTCATGGTTACACAACTATTCCTGTAGCCAGGAGCACTTTTGCCCAAGGATTCCTGCCAGTCAGCTCTTCAGAACTCTTTGGTAAATGTGAGCCATATTCTGCCCAATCATATACGTGCACCTTTACACGCCAATCTCTTTAGCCACTGAGTCATCTCCCCAGCCTCTAAAATACCTCTTCACATAATCTTGACAATCCAGGTAGGCTGTACTGTTCCTTCTGTAAGTTCACACACACACAAAAAAAATACCAGTAACTCTGACTTGATATGAAGTCAGATATAATCGAAAGTCATTTGCAGCTTTTCTCACTGCAAGCTCCAAATGTGCTAGCACGTTTCTGAAATTTCTCTTTTCTGAGATAACTGTAAGGTCTCAGTTTTGCAAATTGTGGCTAGTGGTGGCAGATCTCATAACTCGAGCTTCTACTTGCATTTTAGTTTATTTGATTCTCTTTCTCTCTCTCTCTCTCTCTCTCTCTCTCTCTCATTTGACTTCTCCTTTATCGTCTATCATGTATCAGATCATATTACAAAACACAGCACCCCTAAGAAAACTGATGGCTGGTGGATGTTTGAGCGTCTTTCAGCTAGTCAATAAGTGACCTCAACTTTCCACAGCCCAGTACATCCTGCCCAAGTATATATGTGCAAAGTTCATATTATGAATGTAAACTTCCCTCAGCAAAATCCCGCACAAAAAGGGACTCAATATTTGGCTCTTAATGGAAGAAATTAGATTGTTAAATAATAAGCCTCATGTGTCTACTTCAAGCTTGCCTTGACCTTTTAAGGAGTGTGTTTCCAAAACACGGTATACAGAACAAAAGCAGGTGGCCTCTTGTTTTTGTAAATAAAGGTTTATTGGCGCACATCCTGCAATGGTCACTTTATATTATGTGTGGCTGCTTTTGTGCAGTAACCACTAAGCTGAATTGCTGCAAAAAAAGCATATGGTATTAAGCTTGAAAATAATTAGTAGGTAGCCCTTTACAGAACGTTTTCTAAGTCCCACTCGAAGTAAAAGAACTGTGTCACAAAACCTACATATCTGTACACATTTTTTCTACAAGATTCCATTTCTAAATATAAAGAACTGTTCTAGGTAGTATAAATGACAACATTAATTTTCTTAGATAGGAGTTAGGGAGGTACGTTAATAAGCACATCCACAAACTTGGTTCTTTCCTTTCTCAAATAATGATCTTCCTCAGTTCATATTTGATGAGCTACAACATTCAACTTTTGCTGTTTTCTTTCTGATACCAGAGTAAATGATGCTGCATTAAAAAATAAAACCATTAGCCATGTCTGATGACACGCATCTTTAATCCCAGCACTCAGGAGGCGAAGGCAGGCAGATCTAAGTGTGATTGAGTCCAGCCTGGTCTATATAATTAGTTCCAGGGCTATAGGAACATCCTATCTGAAAAAATGAAACTGTTAAATATTTTGATAGAACAGGAGAAAAAAACATGAGATCTTTTTCAAGAGTCCTGTTTGATCTGGTCTGGTGCTTCATGTCTATAATCCCACCACTCAGGCGGCTGAGACGGGGATTATGAGATACAGGAGAGCCCGGCTTCATAGCCAGTTTGCAACCAGAGGAAAACGCGGCCTCATAACAACAGAGCATTTTCTTTTTTTAAATAAGTTACATAATGTAACAGCCAAACTTGGTCATTAACTTGACATATGTGGGAAGAGGGAGCCTCAGTTGGGGAATTTCTTCCATCAGATTGGCCTGTGGGCATGTATGTTGGCACGCTCTTGATTGCTCATTGATAAATGCCTAGCCCACTGTGCCTCACTATGCCCAGACAAATAGGCCTAGACTATAGAAGAAAGGTAGTTCTCAGAACGTGAGTCTGGAAGCAAACCAGCAAGCAGAGTTTCCCCTGCATCTCTACTTCGGTTCCTGTCCGGGTTTCCGCCTTGGCTTCCTTCCACGATGGACTATACCCTTCAAGCCAAACAAGCACTTTCTGCACGAACTTGCTTTTGGTCATGGTGTGTATCACAGCAACAGAAGTCAAACTAGAACACGGGGGGTAATCTAGCACACGTTATTTTGGGGCATTCGCCCCTTCAGATGCGGGGCTTCAAAGAAGCGAAAGAAGGCAAATGCCCTTATCATGATGGGTGGCTCTTTACGCAGACTATTCCCACAGACTGGAAAGTGTCTTCAGAATGTGAATCCACTGTCCTCTCTGCGATATTCTTACACTTAAAGTGTTTCATCCTGTGCAATGCTCCCCCACCTGGTTACATACCCAAAACTCTAGAGTGCTGATCAAATACATCCCTTCGGGAACTGAGGTGAATCCTTCAGTCTTGGAATGCCTGTCATACAGCTAAATGCAGTGAAGTGGTGACCTCTACATGTGAAAGTGATACGTATGTTTCTGTGGGGAGAGAAGCATATAAAATTACTTCCGTTTGGTAATCTTTTGCTTCAGTGAATCAGTAC